TTTTTTTTTTTTTAAGAGCTATGAAGCAGGGACAGAGGCAGAGCGAGCTCCTTCAGGCAGGGCTGAGAGCTGAGCTCGCACAAACAGCTCCCCAGTGGACTCGTCCCAGGTTCCTGCCCTGCCCCGTCCCTTCGCTCGGCTCCGAGGGGGAAGACCCGGAGCTGGGAACCCGCCGGCGATGAGCCACATCTACGGCAGCCACCTCTCTCCTCTGGGCAGCCCCTCCATGGTTTATCTCCCGGCCGCCCTCGGCTTCGCCCCCGGGGGAGCGATCTCCCGGCAGGACCCCCCGCAGAAGCCCCCCTACAGCTACATCGCCCTCATCGCCATGGCCATCAAAGAAGCCCCGGAGCAGAAGGTGACGCTCAGCGGCATCTACCAGTTCATCATGGACCGCTTCCCCTTCTACCACGACAACAAGCAGGGCTGGCAGAACAGCATCCGTCACAACCTCTCCCTCAACGACTGCTTCGTCAAGGTGCCGCGGGAGAAGGGGAGGCCCGGCAAGGGCAGCTACTGGACCCTAGACCCGCGGTGCCTGGACATGTTCGAGAACGGCAACTACCGCCGGAGGAAGAGGAAGCCCAAAGCCCCAGGGCCCCCGGAGGCGAAGGGTGGAGAGCAGCCTGGGCCGCCCGCCCGCCCCGTCGAGCCCAAGCGGGCCAAGGGGAGCGCGGCGGCCGCGGGGGACGCGGGGGTCCCTCGGCCGGGCCGGGGGACAGCGGCTTCCCCCGGGGGTCCGCCCCCGGTCGCCCCCGCCGCCGCCCCGCCACACAAGAGCGGCCCGAGGAGCCGCAGCTTCAGCATCGAGAGCATCCTGGCGCAGGGGCTGCGGCAGCCGCCCCCCGGAGCAGCCCCCAAGGCGGCCCGGGAGGGCCCCGCCGGCTGCCTCGGCGGTTCCCTGGTCGCCAGCGGCGGCTTCGGCCCGACCCTCAACGCCTCCCTCATGCTCGACTCCCAGGTGCACGGGAGGCTCTACCACATCGGCATCCCCTTCCTTTCCTGCTTCCCTCTCCACGTATCCGAGGCGGTATTTAATTTCCAGTAGTTGCCCCGTAATTAAACCCCCCTCCCCGTCCCCGGGCGCTGCTAGAGGGGCGCGATGGGAGTGAGAGACTGGACTCAGACCTCACTGCGCGGGTACAGACCAGAAAAAACCCAAAGCGATGTAAAAGGTGACTCAGGATTTCAGGGCATTTTCAAGGCGCGTCTTGCTGCGGACTCTCTTTAGTGGTTGCATCCCACCCCCTCGCCAGACCGACTTTTGAAGGTAAACCAGCTTTCTTTTCCCGTGGGTAGTGAAGGTAGAGACAGGCACTGGGGGGATGCCCATGCAGCCTCAAACTCCGTTGGTTTTGCTCTGCACCTTTAGTCTTTGCATCCCTCAGGTTCCTCAGACCTGGTTTCTTTCGAGCCCTTCAGGTCTCTGGTTTTCTTCTTTTATTTTCCTTTTGAAAACCCAACCCACTCTGTCCATCCCTGGGGGAGGGGGCTGAGCTTTGTTTTGCCATTAATACCCACAGGTACATAATAATTCCTGATATTCCCCGCTGGCCCAGTTCTCCCTGTGGGTAAAGGCAGGTATCTGGAGCTGAAATAAGGGCAGACTAAGCAATCCAGGCTCATCCTGCAGATTCCTGCTTGCTTAGACTCAGCACTGTGTGTAACTGGCTTCCTGCCCAGCACTTGTGCTTCTCGAGTATCTCAATAGAGTTTCTGCTCACTGATGAGAGGGGGATGGATGAACAAACACAGGGATGCATCCACTTTCCACATCTTGCTGGGATCAGTTGCTTCTGACCACAAAAAGACTGAAGCAGGGTTGTGGAGGCCACTCCTGGCATTTTGAAATACGTCTTATAACAACCAGGACAACTATCAGGAAAAAAAAAAAAAAGACATCAGCTATGTATCTAAAATTTTATTTTTTCTTAAAGAAGGAAGAATCCAGACACACTGCAAGAAATCAGGAATATTTCTTATTTTTGTTTGCCATAAATAGAGGCTTTTTGTATATTAGTGGATAAATGCCCTTTTGGAAAAAAAAATCTATATTCTCAATTTTCTTTACGAAATGAAACCTATATCCAATAAAAGTATTTTGTTCAGGAGTGTGGCTGGTGTGATATAAACCACCTTGGAGGATCAAGGAGTGGGGCCTGCTGCTGGATGCAGTGAATATCCTGGTGAGGACATGATGGACCTCATAAAAGGTTGGGAGAGACTTAAACAGAGTACTGGGAAATTACCTGTTCCTTGAAACTGAGGTATTGTTTCCCAAAATGATTTTCTCCTTCTCTTGCCTCCATCCCACCCAATCTCACTAGAAAAGCTTGTCCTTAAATTAGCACCTGGATATTGGAAATGTGGGTTTCTCAAGTGAGTTGTGATTCAGCTTTTGCAGAAGAAGATCAGCATCAAACAGCCTTTACATTTGGACCAGGAGCTCAGGGGCCTCATTCCAGCACAAGACAAAGAGGTCTCATGTGGTGAAGTACAGAAAATCTCCAAAAGCTGGGAACTGATGATGAGGTTCCCAAAAAAATGATGCTTATAAGCAGATCCCTGGATAGGCCCAGCTCCTGCGTCTCAGTGTGAAAAAAAAGGGAATAGAAGAAGATATTTTTTTAAAACAGACTTGCAAGATAGACTTTACTTAAGTAGTTCTGACAACTCTGACAACTTGAATATGTATTGAATAAATTCTTTAAAGCTATGGCACCGAAATAAAAATAATAATGAAAAAAAGCACTTGTAAAATGAAGGTGTCACTGCTCAAAGGCACATGTGTCCCCACCATCATTTACAGGATGGGGCAAGTGATGAGAGGGTTAATGCTCCCTGTGTGAAATCCTGTCCCTGCAGTGCCACTCCTGTGTGTAATTAGAGACAGGTATTGGTTAAATCAGTGGCCACCTTGCCAGGAGGTTTGTGTTCAAGGCTGGGGACTGACATCACCAGTCTGTTTGGAGTCCATGAGGTGACATCACTCACAGGAAGCTGCAGGGGTAGGAAAATGATCCAGCTCAGTCCTTGCCCGACAGAGACCTCCAGTCATCTCTCCACTCCCTGAGTGATGTTTTGGGCATGAGTGTGAGATGGGAGGTTATTGCTGCCTCTGAGACTGGTTTGATGGATCTCCATCAAGCTCCAGAGCCAGTTCCTACAGGATCCTGCATCCCTGGCCTCCCTGCAGCCTGGCCCCCAGAAAGTGGATATTTATGCTCTTAATCACCAGTTTTAACTCGTGTCTTTGAGCTCCTTTGCTTCCCTTTCTCTTAACTTGGCATCCCTGCTGTGACACCTCCCCCCACCGTTTTGTCACCTCTGTGCTCCTATTCCAGCTTCCCAAAGTACATTTTTGACCTGCAAACAGGGCTTTAATTCCTTTCCTACTTAAACATGTATAACCTCTCCACCTCAGAGCCCTTTCTGTGCAAGAACAGTTTTTAGTGGTCAAAAAAATCATCCAAAGGAGTAAGTCTCAGTTTAATATGTACACCATGTATATTTTTATCACAGACACTTTTTTTGGATTGATTGGGGGGGAGGGGGATTCAACTTTTTCTATGCAATGGGAATTTTTTTTTAAGCTTTGCTTTGACATTTGATCTTATTTCTGTTTTGGTGGAGTGGAGTGGGACCAAGTACAGCTGCACTATTTAAAAGCCACATTGAGCTTGATTTTGGTTTCGCTTGAGAGAGTAAAATTAGTAAACTTAACATGCTCTGCACAAAAGTGACACTAACTCAAATGAACTCACAACAGAATGAATAGTTATGAGGGGCAATTTGGAATTAATTTGGATCAGGCCAGTGCTGTAACAGGGGATGAATACCATGAAAAAGGGTCTTATTGCCAGCAGGCAGGATGACTAACCACACACGGCTCTTGCACGTCATCTGTTTATAGAGAGAGGACAAGTAATGGTACAATAAAAACATAAAATAAAAACATATAATAAAAACATGCAATAAAAGCATAAAATAAAAACAACATCGCTTCAGTGCAGAGAAATGAGTGTGAGTGTCAATCTACCAGTTCCTGCCCTTTGGATGTGACTGAGCATCCTTTAATCCTCTATGTAGCATGTGAATTTTGATGTGGTGTAGTTCAAAACAGCCAAATTGCCACATGAATATCAAGGACTTGACAAGCTGCAAAGAATTGATGCCAGTGGTTTCACACCTGTTTCACAATCCCCCCCAAACCAGCTGCCAAGCACAAAACTGCCACCCAGTATTTAACTCACCCCTGGAATCTTCCCCCTCCTGGCTTTCCCAGCCTCTCAGGGTTGGCTGTAAACAGCAGTCTGGAATACTGTGGAGAAATGGAGAAAATAGCCCAGGATGCAGTATAAACAGCACACTTCTTGTGTGGGCGATATATGTGCCTTTCCGTTCCTCTGGAGAGGAGTGACCTCTCCCAACCCAGCAAGGTTCCACGTCTCTGAGCTCTGCAGCCAATTTTAAACTCACAGGAGCAGGGAAGATCCCACAGTGGAAGAGGCTCGTTCGGTTCACAGGGAGGCTTCGCTCCAAACACCCATTTCCTATGAGGGGAACTGAAAATTTGGCATATTAAAATAATTCCGGAGTTTGATTTCTCATAAATGGGGCTCCCAGTCTTTTAATGCACTCAGCGTGTGTTCTCCTAAAGTCGGTCCCACAGCTTATATAAAATATAATCAAGTATTTACACATGACCAGAAGCCACTTTCAGGGCTCATCACTCAAAGTGCGTGGCTGTCTGTGTCTGATTTCCAGGCGACATAAATCTGAGGGACTTAGTACCTGCTTTTACTTCCCCTCACACCATTTTGTAGTTAATTTTCTTTCCATCCTTCACCAAGGAAGACACATAAAGGAGAGAGCCTCCCTTTTCACACCAAAAACCCACTGGTTACTTCTAAGCCTGGTGAGAGAAGCAGCCAATTCGCCAAACGAGAGGGGAAGAAGGATCTTAGCCCCACACCCAGAAAACAGATCTCCCAGGAGACGTTTGGGATATTAAACAGATCACATATTTGATTTTAAGTGAAAGACCAAGAAGACAAGATCACAGAATTAGAGAAGTTACAGATGGAAAAGGTCTATGAGGTTATGCAATCCATCAGTCTGGACATTGCATAATTGCTCCCCACAGTATATTTTTAGTGCTTTATCCAGACAAATCATTAAGTGCTTTAAAATGGGCCAGATTCCTCAAATGCAGTGCGTGCAAAGTCACAGCTGATTTCACCAACCCTTGGAGCTTCAGTTCTAATAAGACACCAGAAGGAAGTTCTGTGTGGTCAAAGAGAACAAAACAGGCCTGGTTTGGTATTCCTCACAGGAATCTTGCCTAAATTAACTGAATTAGATCCCTAAAATCTCATTTTCGGATTATACTGAATAATAATGCATTATTACTTATTCAGATGTTCTCTTAGTCCAAAGTAAAACATTGTTCATGTTCATGCGAACACGATTTGTTTTAAGCGGCTTCAAAGCCGGCTCAGTAAAGCGTAAAGAATGTTTATTTAAAATATAGTTGCTAAATTTAGCATGAGCTTGGTTAGCCTAAATCTTAGCGACATTTTTAGAGAGCACATTGCGAATCAGGAATGCATGGAGAAATAAATAAACTTTCCCACATTTTTGGAAATGGAGTAAGAATTTGCAAGTTATTCCTTGCACGGGCGATTTCTGTGGATTGGAAAACGTTATGGATAGCACAAATTTCCCACTGAACAGACAGTTGAAAGCACACAAGGCTAATAATTTTCACTGCAGTTTCATTTCAAATAATGCTCCCTTAAGGAGGAAACAAAAGCTGTCAGCTTTTGTTATAGAAATTACGCAGAGCACCAACATGTTTCAATATTTACTCAAGCTCTTTGCAAAGCACCGAGAAGTGCAATGGAGCTGCCCTTGGCTACAAGCCACATCCAACCCCCTGCAAAGGAAATCTCAGGGTTGAATTAGGTCCCGTGCCTCTTCCTAGTAATTATCATACTGAATTTTACACCCACCCCTTGCACACTGTGTTCCCGGCATCCTCTGTCT